TCACACGTACACACGCAGACATGAACATGGCCGCATTTCTTGGTACTCCAAATCAGATGTTTGCTGTAGCCTTTGATCAGTTCCCAGCCACATCCTCTTCCATCTGGATCTGCTGTCCTGACCCTTCTCAGCCAATGAGAGACTTCTAGGCCTCTTGAGTAGGAGTTGTTTTGATGGCTGGTACTGCTCAAACTGATTTCTGCATTACTGTGGATGCACCATTAATTTGTAGTCACTTGACATCTTTAAGGCATAATTAACACTGAAGAAAGACCTTGGCTGAAAGTGTTAACTAACTGGAAAGGAATGGTATGGCTTTCATTTGTATGTTTCATTGACCTTAAGTAAACTGTAGTGCTGGTCTCTTGGGGAATGAGCCCCAGCTGGGACCTCTGGTCTTGCATGCTTGACTTATTAAGTGAATCACATCACAATTATTACTACATCACATCCCAGGAATAAAGCAGAAAATTTGTGAGAGAAAGGTCCAGTCGAGGTCTTTAAAAATCAGAGATCTCTTTCTTAGACATACAAATTAGTTAGGATACTGTACAGGGTGATTGCTTTTCTCTGGCAAGAGCCTAAGTCAGGTTAGAAATCATGGCAGGTTAGTAATACAGAACGACCAGCAGCGGTTCTTACAGAAGTTGATAAGAGCCTCGGGCTACACTGGCAGAACTCTGATTTTACAGGCGAGGACATTGAGCTCTAGAGGGACGTGACTTTTCCCAGGTTGTTCTTTTTCATGCCTAGTTTGCTGAGGTTTGTTTGTTGTTGTTTTTTTTTTAATTCATACAAGGGTTTTGAATTTTGTCAACTGCATTTTCTGAAGCTATCAAGATGATCATGTGGCCTTTTTGGTCTTGGTCCATGGTCCTTTAATATGGTGAATGGCATTGATTGAGTTTCTGATGTTAAACCAACCTCATATTATTGAGATAAACTTACTTGGTCCTGATGTGTTATCCGTTTTATAGATTACTGAATTCGATTCAGTAGTATTTTGTTACGGGTTTTTACATCTAAATTCATGCGGAATTTAGGCCTGTGGTTTTTCCCGTGTAAACTCTGTCTGATTTTGGCCTCATGAAAAGAATGGGGGTGTTTTCTCCTTATTTTTCTGAAGACGTTTTTGTAAAATTGGTGTTATCGCTGATGAAGGTTTGATGAAATCCAGCTGGGAAACGATCTGAGCGCTTGGAGCTTCTTTCAGGAGGGTGTTTTTAATTATGAATCCAGTGTCTTCTTCAATTGCTACGAGGCTCTTCAGGCTTTCTATTTCTTCTTGAGTCCGTTGGGTAATGTGCCCATTTTATCTGCTGTTGGATCTATTGGCACTAAATTATTTACATCATTTCTTTATTATCATTTTACTGCATGTAAGATCTGCACTATTGATACTCGGTTTCATTCTCGATATTGGTGATTAGTTTCTCTTCTTCCTCAGTGAGCTTGATTTAGAGGGTCGTCACTGCCATCGATATTTTCAGGAACTGGTCTGCTTCGGTTTAATCGATGCTTCTCCATTTTGTGTCAGTTTTCAGTTTCACAGTTGCCTGACCCCGTCTTCCTGGCTGGGTCATTGTTCCTTTCTGTCCACTCCTGTCCACCAGGCACGCACGGTCCTTCCCTCTGAATGCTCACATCCTACGTTGCTTCTCTGTGACATGTCACAATTTACATTCGATGTTTCCGGGCTCGTGTCTTTGACTAGACTTGAGCCCCTCGAGGCTGGTACTGTTTCTGCCGTAGTCCCTTACCCTGCAGTAGGTCACCCAGGGTCAGTGAGTGCATGATCAGATGGGTGTCCGAGTGCTATTCTGAGCAGTCTGTATAAAAGGCAAGGAGCGGGCTGTAGAGCCACCCAGCTCTGTGCTTACATCCTGGAGGTGCCGCTCCCCCGGAGTGTGGATTGGAACAGGCACCTGACTGCTCTGAGCCTGTGCCTGAAAACAGGACTTTCCTTGCGCATGTTAGAGGCAATGTGCGCGGATCACTTAGCATAGCGTTTGGCACTGAGTAGGTGCTCAATTAAAGGCAGCCATTGAAAGACCTTTCGTTTTAGCTCAATCAGCTGTATGCCTAGAAAATATTTCTTCTGTAGTTCTTTGCCCATTACTGACGTTTGGGATGGACTTCTTCTCAAAGGGAAGACAGCGGCAGGCTCTAAGAAAGGAGTCTCACGGCAGAGCAGTGCTTCTTCTTGTTTTGATTGAGAAACTTGAGCATCCTGTGTCTTGCCTCACCAACTCACTTTATGGTTTTATTAAAATATTCTAATTTTATGTGTCCGAGGAAGCTTTTTTTTTTTAAATCAAAGAAGAAAGGCAGTAATACTCAATTTCACAAAACCTTTTTGTGCTTGATTTTCATAAATTAGACAGATATTTTCTCCATACTTGTATCTTTTTCTTGGTTCTCTACAGAGCAAAGAAACAGCCAATTCCAAAAAAATAGAAAGACAGACTGTTTCATCTCCGTTACATGATACTTGAACGTTACCTATCTCTGTTTTTTGCTCAGTTCCCAGATGATTTCTACTACATCACTCTCTGGAGGCGACTTTCAAGTGTACCTTAAAAAATGAAAAAAAGCCAGTGTGACATTTTTCTGTTACTTCACAGGTTTTGGCTTTGCAAGAGCATCATTGAGAATCTGTTTTCTTGACCAGCGTACCTGCAGTTCGTGGAAGCTGCTGTACGTGTGTTGGGCGAGAGGTTGGCACAGTTGTTCAATTCAGTTAATTTATTCAGACATTTATTCACTCAGCCTTTTCTGAATTTTCCGAGATCAGCGACCACACCTATTCACCTTGTTCTAATAAGCACAGGGCTTTAATAAGCACTCAGAAAGTCTCCAGGAAGTGTTTGAAGACGAATAAAACAACAGACCAAACAAATGGAAGTCACTTGGATTCAGAAAGGCTTATTGAGATGTGTGAGCTGTGGGGTCTCACCTTCTGCTGATGACGAGGTGGTTTTCAAAAAGCGTAAGACACGTTCATAGGAGGTCCTTTCGAGGTGATAGCGCAGTGCTTTATGCTTTTGGAAAAGGATTTGTGGTTTTGGTGAGTCCAAAATATCCTTGCATATTAAAAACAATCCATGTTTCACTGGGGCCTTTATAAGTGCAGAGGACTGAAGTCTTCTTCCTGGAGGAGGCGTGGCTTTCCCTGAGCCCTGAGGGAGGAGCAGCACTCATAGGTGGAAAAGTTAGTGGGGGGCACTCCTGGTGGCAGCAGTCGAAGGGAACCTGTAAGCACATGGCATGAGGACACCCTGGGGAGTGGCGGGAGGTGGCCTTTCACAAGGGGCCGGAAGGCCTGGAACAGACCGTTCTCTAGGGACAATAACAGGTGGCCAGTAAACACATGAAAAGATGCTCAGTGTCACCTGTCATTAGGAAAATGCAAATCAAAATCAAAGTGAGATGCTGCTTCACACCCGTTAGGAGGGCTATTATTAAGGAAGGAAAAAAAACCAAAAGCAGAAAATAACAAATGTACAAGGATGTGGAGAAATTGGAACTCCTGTGCACTGCTGGTGAGACTATAAAGTTGTCCAGCCACTGTGGAAAATGGTATGGTGACTTCTAAAATAATAAATATACGTATAAATAATCGTGTACCCAAGAAAATTGAGAGCAAGGTCTCAGGACAGATACTGGTGCACCTGGGTTCATAGCATTATTCACAGTACCACAGGGGGAGCACGGGGAGGTTCATGGATGGATGGGTGGAGACGCACACGCGGCCCACGCACATAATGGAACAATTTATAAGAGGCTTTTAGAGTCATCAGATTCAGAAGCAGAGAGAGAAGGGTGGTGCGAGCGGCGGGGGGCAGGAGGAAATAGGGAGCTGGGGTTCAACGGGGACAGGGTTTCCGTTTGGGAGGATGACGGTGTTGGTGGCACAGCCACCAACTGTACATGGAAATGTACATTTCAAAATAGTCCAAATGGTCTTATTTACGTTATGTGTGTTTGACCATTAAAAAAACGGTGAATAAAATGAAAGAAACGGCGCTGAGGTCCATTCCGCATTTCCCGCTGGTGTCAGCCACGTGGCCTCGGTGTCCGACGCCGACGGAGCAGACGGAGACGGGCATTTATTCAACTCGTCTGTGCCTCTGAAAGGCCAGCGCGATAGGTCTTCGTTGTCCCCGCTGAACACTTGAGAAGCCAAGTCTGAGAACGGCGAGATGACGCGCCCAGTGGCAGGAGCCCTCCGATGGCACTGGTGTGGGGGCCGGGCGGGGGGCTGGCTCCGGGCCCTCGCCCCAGCTTTTGGAGGCCCCGCTGGAGTCGCGTGTTTCACTCTGCCTCGGTGCCCCTGGCACTTGCCACCGCTCCTCCAGAAGCTCGGAGGTTCGCTTCACGGGAGAGAAGGGTCTGGATGGGCATGGACCGGGGGCCGGGGTTTGGTTTCTTACCTTCCCTGCATGCCTGGGCCACCTAGAGGGCCCCGCTCAGCGCAGGCAGTTCACGAACGCTTGAGCTGATCTCTTCCTGTTGGCTGTGCGGTGGCTGGCTCTGCCCCCGGTGACACGGTGTCCTCACCCTGTCCCTCTTAGAAGGTCTCGTCTCTCCTTGGCCGCTGGCTCGTGGTCGGCCTGTGACCTCATTTCTCGATGGGTTCAGAGGATGTCGGCCTGGGAGCCATGATCTGCCTCCCTCGTGGACGTGTCCCCTCACTCCCGCCGATTATGTGTGTTTAAGGGATGCTGATCAGAGTGGGCTTTTCTCTCTCAAATGCCGTATCCAGCCACAGGATAGTTTGGGAGCCCCTTTTTGTTTGCATATCTGGGCTCAGAATTGCTGGTGTAGACACAGAGCATCACAGGAGAGATGGTGCCGGCTGTCACCCCGGCATGACAGTCGCCCCGAGCTGATGACTTTACCATTTGGGGTTATCGTCTGCCTCACCTGAGCAAAGCCTGCGTCCTGGGGGAGCGCCGATCAGCTGCAGTGCGCTGACATCATTTTTTACCTCTTTTTAGACCCTGGAAGCGATCCTGAATTTCAAATACTCCGGAGGCCCGGGCCACGTCGAAGGGTACTACAGGAGCCTGTCCCTGGGGCTGCACGTGGAGGTCGAGCCGTCCGTGTTCTTCACCCGCGTCAGCACTCTGCCGGCGACCAGGTAAACGGTCTCTCTGGAGTCCGATGGTGCTGCTTCTGGGATTCTGACCTTGGTGTTCACCTTGGTCCCACTCCCGTCAGACCCGACTGCTCAGCCCCGCCTCATGCACTTGCCTGGAGCCTGGTCCTGGCCCCGGCCTGGTACTGCTGTCCTGTTAGCAGGGCACTCAGCAGGTGGCCACCTGCCTTGGGGACTCCTGGGGGAGTCTAGTGTCTCTTTCTATGTCACTCCTGGCATCTAGTGAGACTTCACATGCGGGCCAGGCTGTCCAGCATCTCAGCACCCCCCTTCACAGCCCCCAGCCGTCTAGAGCATCCGGTCATTTGTGCCCAGCAAGCCTGTCTTGCCCTGAGCCTCTGTCTCCCAGTTCCGTCCCCAGGCCTAGTCTTCCCTTGGGGGGAGGAAATCGGGCATCATGTCCACTTCAGGCCCAGAGCGGCCGGGAGTACTGGAGGGATGCTTCTGTAAGGGTGGGGGGGGGAATGACAGTTCTTCATCCAAAACTTTGACCTTCGGTTAACTGGGAGTCGGGGCGGGGGTGCCGGAAGTGCTGGGCGGAATGCAGCCCCCTGGAGACCTGTGCCGCTCAGGTCCCTGCCAGCAGCCAGCAGCCTTCGCAGAGCGGGTGCTGGTCCCCACCGAGCACGCCCACACTTCCACATCCCCTGGTGCCATGCGCTGCGGGTGGGACGGAGCGGGTAGCATTGTTTGCTCTGGGCATAGTGAAGGCAGCCGTGGTGACACACACGCACCTGAGTAGCCTTGACCCGGGAGAGAGCATCACTGCACCCCCGTCGGCTCTCTGTTCCACGGGGAAAGCGGAGGGGTGTTGTCGCCTGTGTGGACATTGACGTAAAACTCCCTGTAGAGTGACGCGGCCCCAGATGGCAGGTGCAGTTTCGGTTTGTGGGAGAGTCTGTCTTCCCGGCCATTGGGGAATGGCTTCTGTGAGGATGAGAGGCTTAGCTTGGGCTTTTTAGCATCACATTTCGTCATCTGTCACTTTTTCTGTCACTCTTTCAGTCCGCGAGTAGTGGTCATTTGCTCAGCTGGCCTCTGCTTTGAGTTCGCATCAAGCATCCAAGCACTTGCCCCGGGGACGCTGGGCAGCGATGGCCGCCGCACGCTCCCAGGCTCCCCCAGGCGCTTTCCGGGCGTTAGGCCTGCCCCGTTGTAAACCCGGGGTGTGTCTTTCTCGTCCCCCAACTCCTGCCGTCACCGCTCACATAACTGGTTCTTGGAAGCAGCACAGGTTGTCACTGAGTGGGGTTGTTTTCCCCCCTCTCTGTACCTGGCTTCCGTGTCATGGCCCCTGCAGCTGTAAACGAGTTTCAGGTGAGACAGACGCAGCCAGGTGGCACGGTGCGAGGGCGCCCCGGGGGGGCCGGCAGTGAGCTCGGCTGCTGCCTGGCTCCTGGCCGCCCAGCCCGTCGACCCTGCTCTGCTTTCTTTCCTCTGCTCTTGGGTTGAGATTTGGTCCCCTCTGTTCTCCCCCTCCATTCCTACGAAGTCCGATGGACCCCCAGGCCCTGTGGATCAAACCCGGGCTGTGTCTCCCGACGGCCCCGGCGCCCCGCCGCACGGCGTTCTGTGCGACTCCTCGGCGTTCGCCCACTCGGCCCCGCGCCTCCCTCTGGCTCCTGCGTCATCCCACTGGCTCGGAGCCTTTCCCGGCGCCTGTGAGATAAACCCGCAGTCCCTCCTGGGCTGTTCGAGGTGCCTCGAAGTCTGTCCTGGCCCTTCCTGTTCAGCCTGTTTACCCCGGTCCTCCACACCTCCTGAGAAAGACACCTGCTTGTCCTCGTCACCAGGATGTGTCAAGACAGTTTATTCCAATGTGCCTTCACGTGCATCTTTTTCTACAACTGTTCTTTTTCTTACCCTGTCTTCCCTTCACTTAACCTTCGGGAAAACGTCTCTATCGTTGATGATCTGTATTACCATTTTAGTAAAATTTTTCTGAACGTGACTTGGCTGAGTGGGTGGGACCTTCTGTGGGCTCTCCTGTCCAGTCCATATACTTCTAATAAAGCACTTACCAGACTGAACTTTTAAAACAACACTTTTAAATTTTCAAGTGCTATTCGAAGCATGCACTGAGCTAAGAGATGGGAAGGTCACAGTCTTTGTGTTTCATCGGCCTGATAGAAGCTCATTAGGCAGCAGTGATACCACGTGGAAGTTCGGATCTACATTAAGGAATGGCGAATCTCAGACATCATAAATACGGAAATAAATACCGAAGATTTCTTCCCCTCACCTCTTAATTTCTTTAAAAGACTATTGACTGTTTAAAGAAGGAATGATACATTTAATTTCTGTATCTCTCATATGCAGAAGCAAAATATGAAACAAAAAGCACAAAGAAATGAAAGAGGAAAGAAGAAGGGATGGAAGTTCTTATATGCAAACTGTTTCATGTTGTTTGTGGTTCGAATGGGGTAAGTTAAAGACGCATTTTGTAAACCCCTGAGCAACCACTTAAGGATCATCAGCCAGAAGGAATAAAATAGAATACTGAAGAATACTTAATTCAAAAAGGAAGAAAGAAATGTCAAGAAAGGAGGAGAAAAGAACCAGGAGCATATAGTCAATAGGACACAGATAGCGACGTGGTAGACGTAACTGTACCAGGAAGTACCCTGAATGTCATTGGACTACACAGTGCGTTTAAAAGTGGAAATCGTCAGGCCGTATAAAAAACCTACAGCCAACTATATGTTCTGCAAGAAACATTAAATATGCACCATTGGAAAGCAAAAATATAGAGGAAAAAAATGTGCCATGGATACACTAATCATGAGAAAGTCGGCATGGGTGTATGCATAGCAAACAGGTTGACTTTCAGGAGCAAAAGAGACGGAGAGGATAATTTGTAATGATAGAAGGTTCAAGTCGTCCAGGACACCTAGCAATCCTAAATGCAAATGCACTTAAAAGCGCAACTTCAAAATAAAAACTGACATCTGAAGGGAGAAGTGGAAAACACCACAATTACAGTTGGATATTTTAACACTTGTCTCTCAGTAATTGATAGAACAAGCAGAAAAACAGCGAAAATATAAAAAATTACATAGTTCAAGTAAACAATTCCAGCTTATAATTATAGGACATTAAATGTTTATATTAGAAAAGTCGAATGGCTTAGCATCAGTGATTTAAGTGCCCAAGTTAGATTAAAAAAATTAAAAAGAGCAAAATGTACTCAGAATAAACAGAAGTAAAAAAAAAAAGTGGATATCAATGACGTAGAAAATGAAAAAATAATATGTGAAGTCGGTGAAACCAAAAATTGATTCTTTGAAAAGATTAATAAAATTAAACGACAACCGAGATGATCAGAATTTTAAAAATTGAGAGAACACAAAGTATTAATAATGAGAATGAAAAAAGGGCCATCACCACGGATTCCGGAGACACTGAGATAATAAAAGTATATTATGAAAAATTAGATTCCAGTAAATTTGACAACTTAAATGAAATGGAAAAATTTTCAGAGAGACACAAATTACTAAAATTAACATAAGAAGAAAGAGAAGCCTTGAGATAGTCACATATCAGAGAGTTTAAATGCTTCATTTAAAAATTTCCATGAAGGGAACTCTAGGCTCAGATGGCTTCACTATGAAGTACACCAAGCTTTTAAGAAGGAAATACCACTTTTACAAAAAAATTCTTCCAGAAAATAGACAAGGAATACTTCCAACTTCCATTTTATGACACTAGCTTCACCCTGACGCCAAACCCATTAAGAGAAAATGAAAATTTAGACCAGTGTCCTCATATGTATATAATTGTAAAAATTCAAAACAATATTGAGAAATCGACTCCAGCAATATATATAAAAGGGATAATGCAACATGGCCAATTCAGGTTTCACCCAGCAACGTAAGGTTTTACCACTGAAAAATCAGTCGGTAGAATTTACCATATTACCAAAACAAAGGAGAAAAACAATGAGAGCATGTCAGCTGATGAAGCAAATTGTTTGACAGAATTTAACACTTACTTATGATAGAAGCTCTCAGTAAGCCAGGTTTAGACGAGAACTCCCACAGCCTGATGAAGGGCACCTACGGAAACCCTGGAGTTAAGTAGTTAAATCATACTTAGTAGTGAAAGGCGGGGCACTGTCTACGACCAGGAGCAAGGCAGGTGCATCTGCTCTTACCACCGTGTTCATTATTTTTCTGCCAGTCATGCTCAGAGCGATAAGATAAGAAAGCTATAACAATTGGAAATGAAAAAGTACAGTTACGGTTAGTCACACGGATTTCCATGATATATGTGATCATGTACATAAGTATCCTAAGCAATCTACTACCCCAAAGAAATAATTCCAGCTAATAAGTCAAATTATCAAGATTGTGGGATACCATGTAAATATTCAAAAATCAACTGCATTTTTACATAGTAGCAACTAACAATTTAAAAATGAAATTTTGAAAGTAATATATGCATTACTATAAAAACATAAAACACTTGGAGATAAATTATTAAAAAATATTATCTCTATCTTGAAAATGAGAAATCACAGCTTAGGGAAATTAAAGAAGACAATTGGAGAGATGTACCATGCTTATTGATTAGAAGAGTCAATTACTACTAAGATGCCAGTTTTCCTAAATTTGATTATAAATTCAGTGCAATCCCAATCAGAATCTCAGCAGGGTTTTTTTTCCTCCCCCACTGGGAGTGGGGGGTGGAAATTGATAAACTGTTTTTAAACTTATTTCATGGTGGAACAGCCTGTTGCCAAAGGAATAGGCAAATAACTTGACAAAAAAAGAGCAAAGCTGGAGGACTTGGGCCATGTGACGTTAGGACTCACCGTAAAGTGACAGAGAGAGGGTGCTGTTGTGGAGAGGACAGACAAAGGGGCCAATGGGCCACAACAGACAGTCCAGAAATAGACTCGCTCATACATGATCGTTAATTCTTAAAAGGTATGAAAACCATTTTATGTGGAATGAAAAGTCTTTTCAACAAACGGTGCTGAA